GATTCTTTACCAACTGAGCTATCAGGGAACAACATCTAACACAGTAAGTCAAATTTCTTCTGGCTAAAAAAAAAAAAAAACTGTGATGCTAAGGGCAAAAATAAACCATTTCTATGGATTTTTATTAACAAAGGAGTTGTTTCCAGAATCAGAAAAGGAATGCCAATAGGTGAAGCTGGGTGTATACAAGACATTAAGGAGTGGGGAGTCAGGCACTAGATCTCTAGTGTCATCTCAAATGGGTCAAAGTCAGCTGTAAAATGGCCAAACAGATTTCTCAAGTATTTGATTCTATCGATGAAGTCATCAGTTTGCAAAACATTTGAATATATATGGCATGTACCCAAAGCTAAAAGTTTTAATAATACATGCTGAGTGCGTCTGTGTATCTATAATGCAGCCATCACCAGCCCAGGACAGCAATTCTGTGCTGATGTGCCATCTACACTGTCTACATCCAAATTAGCTCTGTGCAAAGAGGTGAACTCCCCGAGGCTCCAGCTGAATTTCTACTCTGGTTTCCTCAAGTCCACCAGGCCTTTCCTGGTGACTCAGCTGGGAAAGAACCCGCCTGCAATGTGGGAGACCTGGGTTTGATCCCTGGGTTGGGAAGATCCCTTGGAGAAGGAAATGGCAACCCACTCCAGTATTCTTGCCTGGAGAATTCCATGGACTATATTCCATGGGGTCGCAAAGAGTCAGAGGCGACCAAGAGACTTTCACTTTCTCCAAGTCAAGCCAACAAGCTGACTGCTTGCATGAATTTTCCACCAGAATTGTGGTCTGCAAGCAGGGTCTGTTGCTTTCCCCGTGGGTGGCAGTCTCCCCAGCATGAGGATCTCTTAAAGGTCTGCAGAAGAAGGACTCAAAGTGCTCTTATTCAAAAGAGACTGACAATTCAGAAGCAGAAGGGCTGCTGGAATGCAAGGTGAGAAGAGTTTGTTCTTGTTCCAGTGATTCAGAAAACACTTAGGGTGCCTAGTCATTCCGGTAGAGAAACAACTTCAGATTTTAGACACATAAATCAGAAAAGAAAAAAAAAGTGCCATAGCTCCAGTCCTATCTTTTGGATTCTAGACACAATACCTGAATCCAAAATAACGCTGCAGGAGTGGGAGGTCTCATCTTCCCAACTTTGAAGTGGCTGAATCAGGCAATTTTTGCAGGGATATCATCGCTATAGGGCCCCCAGAAAGCACTGTGCATTCTGGACCACTCTTGGTCTTAAAAGGGACAGACAAATAAACAAGGTCCCTTGGAATAGAAAAAAATGTTTTTAGAAAACAACTATCTAACCTAAGCTTTCCTGACTTCCATTTTATTATCTCCCATTCATTTCAGAAACTTGACTTTAAACCAGAGGATATTTGCATTCAGAGAAAGGAAAAGCTTCACCTGCATGCTGTCCTTCCCATTTTGGGACAGACTGTGGCTGTGGAGCGTACAGTTTGCTCTTCTCTTGACTGTTCTGGCCTGATTGTGGGGCAGCCCAGTAATCCAGGCTTCTAACCCCTGGGTTTCTTTTCTCTTTTTTTTTGGTCCAGTGCAGGCTTCCCTGAGTGAAGCAGAGGGAAGACAGCTGCTGCCCTTTCCCCCAATTCTTGCTTAGCTTTGAGGATGAGCTGTTTGCAGGCATCAAAAGATTTCTTGGATACCAGAGGTTAAGCAAAACTTGGAGGATTTAATAGACTAGTGAAGGGAAATGAGTGAGTGAAGTGAGTGAAAGTCACTCAGTCGTGTTGACTCTTTGCAGTCCCATGGATTAATATATTCCTTGGAATTCTCCAGGCCAAAATACTGGAGTGGGTAGCCGTTCTCTTCTCCAGGGGATCTTCCCAATCCAGGGGCCAAACCCAGGTCTCCTGCATTGCAGATGGTTTTTTTTTTTACCAGCTGAGCCACAAGGGAAGCCCTGAACAGGCTAATGAATCCTCAATTATCCACAAGCATAAGTGATTCAGGTGATATGTTCATTTACTAGTGCTTTTGATCTTAAGATAAGAGTATCACTATGTGTCAGCCCAAGTTCAGTCAGTTCAGTTCAGTCGCTCAGTCGTGTCCGACTCTTAGTGACCCCATGAATCGCAGCACGCCAGGCTTCCCTGTCCATCACCAACTCCTGGAGTTTACTCAAACTCATGCCCATCGAGTCAGTGATGCCATCCAGCCATCTCATCCTCTGTTGTACCCTTCTCCTCCTGCCCCCAATCCCTCCCAGCCTCAGAGTCTTTTCCAATGAATCACCTCTTCGCATCAGGTGGCCAAAGTTTTGGAGTTTCAGCTTCAACATCAGTCCTTTCAATGAACACCCAGGACTGATCTCCTTTAGGATGGACTGGTTGTATCTCCTTGCAGTCCAAGGGACTCTCAAGAGTCTTCTCCAACACCACAGTTCAAAAGCATCAATTTTTTGGTGCTCAGCTTTCTTCACAGTCCAACTCTCACATCCATACATGATCACTGGAAAAACCATAGCCTTGACCAGATGGACCTTTGTTGGCAAAGTAATGTCTCTGCTTTTTAATATGCTATCTAGGTTGGTCATAACTTTCCTTCTAAGGAGTAAACGTCTTTTAATTTCATGGCTGCAGTCACCATCCGTAGTGATTTTGGAGCCCAAAAAAATAAAGTTTTTTATTTTTCTGTTTGGGGAGACTGTTTCCACTGTCTCCCCATCTATTTCCCATGAAGTGATGGGACTAGATGCCATGATCTTAGTTTTCTGAATGTTGAGCTTTAAGCCAACTTTTTCACTCTCCTCTTTCACTTTCATCAAGAGGTTTTTCAGTTCCTCTTCACTTTCTGCCATAAGGTAGTGTCATCTGCATATCTGAGGTTATTGATATTTCTCCCAGCAATCTTGATTCCAGCTTGTGCTTCTTCCAGCCCAGCGTTTCTCATTATGTACTCTGCATATAAGTTAAATAAGCAGGGTGACAATATACAGCCTTGACATACTCCTTTTCCTATTTGGAACCAGTCTGTTGTTCCATGTCCGGTTCTAACTGTTGCTTCCTGACCTGCATACAGGTTTCTCAAGAGGCAGCTCCAAGAGCAACTCAGTAAGGCAGATGTTATTACTAACATCTTCATTTTAGGGGCAGGAGGATTAATGTACAAGAAGATGGAGTAAGTTGCCTAAGGTCAAACAGCCAGCGAGTGTCAACACTAGGACTTTAGCCCAAAGTTTTTTTTTTCTTTCTTTTCTTTCCACTCAGACATTCCACAGCCTCAAAGGAGGGAGGGGTCTTAATCCCCTCAAGAGGCCCCATACTTGCTCCAAGAATGCCAAGCATGAACCCTGACCCCAGCGTGATTGCTGCTCGACCTCAGCGAGTTCAGAGGCAGGCTGTCTCGCTTTTCCTTTAGGGACAACGAGGTGTGTGAAAGCTCACAAAAATCTGCCAAACTCAACAGTGTCTGGACTCTATCTTCTCTCAGGAAGGAAACTGATGACTGATAGCCGTACAGGTAGGGGTTTTCAGGCTTTAGAGAAGGGCTAAGGGAAAGAATGAGAGGATATACTTCTAAAAAAACACACCTGGTAGCCGTGTATCAGCACAGCTGTCCAGCAGAGACACCGAGCAAGTGTCTGGCTCAGTCTGTGTACAATAAACACCAGATAATCCGTGAAAACTCTCCCGAGCATCAGACGGTTCTATTCCCTTGGGGGAGGGAAGGTTTAGAGGGATTTAGGACTCAGGCAGGATTGTCCAAATGCATGGATTATCCACTCTTTCTTGTCCAGTTCTCAAGTAGGGAGCTTCGCTTAAAAATGAGACTTAAAAAGTCTCGTTTAAAGTCTCACCTCCTCTCTTAAATTATTCTCGTGTAGCCAAGGCAACAAAACTTAATACTCTCATTCTATCCTTTCTCTTTGTTCCAGCCTGCCTGACCTCTTCTGTTCAGTTTCCCAGTCTCCCCGAAAGAATTAACATGGCTATGATTACTGCTCTACTAAACTGGAAAGCTGAGAAAGCCAGTCAGAAAGTCTTCAAGGAAGGACAGCGTTTCTCATTAGTGTGGTTAGTCCGTAAGGGAGGCTATTCATTCCAAGAATGTTCCTGAAAGAAAGCGGCCAAACAGATGGGTAGGTTTGGGAATAAAAGATGGAAGGTGTGAAAAATTGAGTACAGTTCCTGGCCCATAGAAAAGACGGAACAAAATGTTAGTTGTCTCACCCCACAAAGTCCTACTCACAGAGCTTATGAAAATATTAAAAGACGTGATGTGCATTCAACTGTGTTCTGAAGAGTGAAGTGTTATATATATGACTTACTCTCAGTGTGATTCTGTGGTTGAAAGCTGACCCATGGCCTCTCCTCACAGCAGTCACCTCCAACCTTTTCAAGACTCTTCTCCTTGGTCCTCAAGGCTGAAGGTCGCTCTGTCCTACCCTGTCTTGTCACAGTCATCATTGTAGTCTCAATGGCCACACTGATGATGCTCCTAGCACCTTTGCCTCTTGTTCCTTCCCTCTGTTACCTTGCCTCCACCCTTTCTTAGATCAGTTCAGTTCAGTTGCTCAGTCGTGTCCAACTCCTCATGGACTGCAGCACGCCGGGCCTTCCTGTCCATCACCAACTCTCAGAGTTTACTCAAACTCATGTCCATCAAGTCCGTGATGCCATCCAACCACCTCATCCTCTGTCATCCCCTTCTCCTCCTGCCCTCAATCTTTCCCAGCATCAGGGTCCTTTCCCAATGAGTCAGCTCTTTGCATCAGGTGGCCAAAGTATTGGAGCTTCAGCTTTAGCATCAGTCCTTCCAATGAACACTCAGGACTTATCTCCTCTAGGATGGACTGGTTGGATCTCCTTGCAGTCCAAGGGACTGTCAAGCGTCTTCTCCTTAGATACTCACTGTACAATCCCAGCTGTAACCATCCTGCTCTCTGCCGCCCCTCCTTTCTCTTAGGCTGCCTCATTTCGTGTCCCTCATCCAACCACCCATTGACTCACCAGGATCTAGCATCCTTCACCCGCTCACGCCTCACTTACCCAGGTTAACTTCCAGAGCACACCATCTCAGCCAGCCCCTGGGCTCGCCCTTCACAGCCTGTGTCTCTCTTGTCGACTGAATTCTTGCAGCCTCCGTTGCATCCACACCTCCTCCCAGGCTCAGAGCTACTGCCCGGGTGCTGCCCCCAGGAAGCTGTGAATGAGGACAGAGGCGGATGTGACCCAGGAACGTTTAATGACGTGATCACATCCTCGTATTCATGACAAATTGCCTAGCAAGAGTATATAAGTTACAATCGCATCTGCAGTGTTCTCGTGGGAGAGGAAGGGGTTCCCCCCCTACCCCAGTTCCCCTATGTGATCACTTCTAAATCCTACCCTGGATGATCGCAAGGGCTTGGCTGCCACCTGCCCCTTTCCTCTGAGCTTACAGGTGGGCGATCAAGGCAGAGGAGGCACATCTGAAGGCTCTGAGGGGAGAGAGAGCCTCTGGTGGTGCTGAGTTTCTGGAAGGGAAAAGAGGCCATTGAGACTGGAGAGCCAGGAGAGGGAGGAATAAAAAGGTATAACTCTGCAGCTGTGAATCAGCCCAGCAGGTATCGCAGGACCCAGTTAGAAACTTAGACTCGTTTCTATGTGAGGTGGGAAATCATCAAGTGCAGTTGACTAAAAGGTTAAACTGACTAGTCTGGCTGCCGTGTAGTAAAACTATTTATAAGGACAAAAGTAGATGTTAAAGAACAATGAGGAGGCTATTAGAGGAAGTCAAGTGAGAAATGATGGCATTTAGACTGGGGCCATGAGCCGCGGAATGGAGAATAGAGTTGCCATCTGTTTTATGGACAGAAGTGATCAGACCTGAGGATGCAAGGAGTGGGATGTACATTGGATGTAAGGAACGTGAGAGAAAGAAAGGGTTCAAGGATAACTTTTAGGATTTTTTGGTTTATGCAGCTAAATGGCTTATGGAACTGAGAGACAAGCAGATGTTGGGAAGGGGGCACAGGATTAAGAATGAGTTTTGTTTTATTTTTATTTAATTAATTTATTTTGAAGTTTGAAAAATTTATTTTTTTTAAATTGAGGTATAGTTGATTCACAAAATATATAACAGTGATTCAGAATATATATATATTCTTTTATATATATATATATTGAATATATATATTCTATTTCAGATTCTTTTCCATTATAGGTTATTACAAAATATTGAGTGGACTTCCATGTAGTATACAGTAGATCCCTGTTACCTACCTCTTTTGTATGTAGTAGTGGGCATCTATTAATCCCAAACTCCTAATTTATTCCTCCCCCCTTTCACTTTGGTAACCATAGGTTTGTTTTCTATCTCTCTGGGCCTATTTCTGTTTTATTAATAGGTTCATTTCTATCACAGACATGTTAAGTTGGAGAGACCTGTAGACCCTGCAGATGATGATACCAGTGGGAGGTTGCATTTATGAGACTGAAACCCAGACAGGAAGTTAGCCTGGAAATGTAAAATTGGGCATCATCGGTGGGTAGAAGAAACTCAAAGGCACAGGAAAGAACAAGATAACTTAGGAGGAGAATTGTATCCGTAGAAGGAAGACTTCAGAGCCCAGGACCAAGCGGGACAAACAGCAACAGACTCAGGGAAAGAATGAGGAGGGAGACAACCTGCAGAATCTGCTCGAGGTACTGGGACAGACTCGCGCCGGCATCTAAGCCTGTTTCTGAAGAACAGAAAGACGTTTACTGAAGTTCAAGCTTTCTTCTCGTATGGCTTTCCCACACCCTTCACAGCCCCAGGCCTGACTCCAAATTAAATCGAGAGATACACATTTAGGGATTCAGTCAAGGAGGGAGAATGTGCATGGCAAAGAGGAAGGGAGCGCAGTCTGAAAGATCAAAAGAAGCCATGGATATTTTCCATCATCTCTCTGGGTCCTGGTTTCCTAATTTTACCTTTAGGGAAGTATCGATTTCTAAGTTCTTTCTTATTCTCAATTCAAAAAGAAAAAACGTGAGCGGGAGGAAGAAGGGGAGAATAGTACAGAGAAGTTCAGCTAAATGATCACTTCTCTACTAGATTATATAAATGCTTAAATATAATGCACAAATCAAGAAGACTGTCTTTGCCACTGTTACTAATACACTGAATATGAGTGCAAACATTGCAGCGGGCACCTTTTCTGAGACACACAGAATTCTTTTTAACTATCTTTTGACTGGAGTATAGTCGCTTTACAATGTCGTGTTAACTTCTGCTGTGCGGCGGAGTGAGTCAGCTGCATGTAAACATACCTCCGCTCCCCTGGGGAGCGCCCTCCCTCCCATTCCGCCCATCAGGTTCCCCATTCCGGCCATCAGGTCGCAGGGCGCGCCGAGCTGAGCTCCTGGTGCTGCTCCGCTGCGAGGCCCGCGAGCTCTCTGTTTTGCGCAGGGTTGTGTGTATACGTCAGTGCTAATCTCCCAGGCCTTCACAACCCCTTGCCCCTCCCCACCCTGTGTCCACACATCTGATTTCTACGTCCACATCTCTATTCCTTCCCTGCAAATAGGTTCATCTATACCATCTTTCTAAATTCCACATATATGCATTAATATACAGTATTTGTTTTTCTCTTTCAGACTTACTTCTCTCTGTATTACAGATGCTGGGTCCATCCACATCTCTACAAATGACCCAGTTTCCCCCCCTTTTCATGGCAAAGTAATATTCCATTGCATATGTGTACCACATCTTCTTTATCCATTCATCTGTCAATGGACATCTAGGTTGCCTAAATAAAATTGTAAGAAAGCTGATAGCCTCTGGGAATCATCTGAAAGTGCTGGGAGAAGATGTCTACCACAGCACCACATACTGAATTCCACGTATGTAAGTATAATGAGGTATATGAATGATTCAATAAGAAGACAAGGGTTCCCTGACCTTCAGTGACTTTTTTTCTATATTTTCCCTATAACTTTCTGGAGAATTTTTCAATTTTTCTAAAAATGGAGATTTCTCTGGGCCTGGAAATGGAGCCAGTAGTTTTCTATCCAAGAAAAAGTGAAAAGAAAGTGAAAGTGAAGTCGCTCAGTCGTGTCCGACTCTTTGCGACCCCCTGGGCTGTGGCCCACCAGGCTCCTCAGTCCATGGGATTTTCCAGGCCAGAGCACTGGAGTGGGGTGCCATTTCCTTCTCCAGGGGATCTTCCCGACCCAGGGATCAAACCCGGGTCTCCCGCATTGCAGGCGGTCACTTTGCCGTCTGAGCCACCGGGGGGCTCTATCCAAGACTGTCATTGAGATACCCTGGGATCTGTGAACAAAGGAAATAGAACTAGGAGCAAGAAAATGGGGTATCAGTGTTCTGGAGTCTATTGGAAGTCGTCTTATGGCTGGAGCAGTAAGCGCCATTGCTCTCGTTTGCTGGTGTTGTGGACTGGATGTGGTTCTCTGGTAGAGCAGTCAGGTAAAAGGGGTCAGGGACAGACGAAAGAGAAATCCTGGCTGGTTGGTTGGTTTGGGGGTATTTGGCTGCTGCTGTTTACAGAATTTTTGTTTCCCTGTGGTCCTTGTGGCCCTGAGTATCCCCCCCTGGTATTCACCCTTTAGGAGCTTCCCTATTGCTCTGTTTCAGGGGTTCTCTGTGTGGCCCTTAGAATGTGGCAGAAGTGTTGGGACATTATTTCCAAAGTTAGGTGGTAAGAGGCATTGGGCATAAACCTTGCTCTAGCTTTTGTTTTATCACTCTGATGTCTGAGTGGCTCAGATGGTTATGAATCTGATCTGCAAGGAGTTCGACCCCTGGGTTGGGACGATCCCCTGGAGAAGGGAATGGCTAGCCACTCCAGTGTTCTTGCCTTAAGAATTCCATGGACAGAGAGGCCTGGTGAGCTACAGTCCATGGGGCCACAAAGAGTTGGACACGACTGAGTGACTTACACACTGCACTACCCTGAAGGCAGCTAGCTGAGTGATGGGAAGGCTCTCAAGGAGCTCTAAGCCACCAGGGAAGCCCAAGACTACTGGAGTGTGTAGCCTATCCCTTCTCCAAGGGATCTTCCCAACCCAGGAATCGAACTGGAGTCTCCTGCATTGCTGGTGGATTCTTCCAGCTGAGCTACCAGGAAAGCCCATATAATATGTATATATATATCTATATATATGCCCACATACATATATGCATATAAATGTATATATGTGGATACACATGCACACATGTATGTATATATATAGGCACACACATAGGTACATACCACACACACATATCACACACACATATATACACACATACCCAACTTACCGAGTATCCAACACAAAAATACTGCTCTGGAGGAAGAGACATGGTTTTTAATGATCAACTAGCCATCTTCGCTACTTCTGGTTTGCAGTTATAATTTCCATCTTGTGTTTTAGTTCTAATGGCTAGAAGCTCATTTTGATTTCTATGCTTCAGACTTTCTTTTTTGGTAAAGTCCACTGTCCTTCTCTAACTAGCCACGAGTCCCAGCATGCTTCTTGTCGATTCTTCATGAGGCTCTGTGTCCCGGGCTGGGGCTCTGCAGTCACAGTGAGCGGGCTCCCTAGTGCTGCCTTTCTGAGCATCCAGCTCCTGCCTTCTTCTTCACCATGCTCCTTATAGCTTATGTTGAACTTCCCAGATGTTATCTGTAGTTGTGGACCTGTAACCTGCAGGCTAGATGCACCTGCCAGACTGGATCTCCTCTCATACCTGGAACTGTCCTTCCACTGCCCACATAGACATATCTTGAGCTCTAGATCGCTACATGTTCTATAATGGAAACATAGCAAACTCTTAAAAATTTGGATGGCTATAAATCCCTTTTGAGCAGCTAATTAGAACTGTAAGCTCTCTGTAGAAAAAAAAGTATGCAAATATACATAAACATTTGTATCTACTATAAGAGGTAAATGGACTTTTGAACTGAATATCTAGTGACCTCCAGATCCAGGGTGGTTGAGAAGCAGGCAGACACTACAGCCATCATTGGGGATTTCCCTCCTAGCTCAATCGGTTAAGAATGTGCCTGCAGTGCAGGAGACCTGGGTTTGATCCCTGGGTTGGAAAGATCCCCTGGAGAAGGAAATGGCAACTCAGGCCAGTATTTGTGCCTGGGAAATCCCACGGACTGAGGAGCCTGGTGGGCTACCGTCCATGGGGTTGCAAGAGTCAGACACGACTGAGCGACGAATCCACCACCACAGCCATCACTACGGTGGACCCCGACTGCCGTCTCAGTTGTCCTTGCTACTCAACAGGTAAGGGACTGGGGACCTTAGTTGCCATGGGTGACTGCTAGCTCAGGGTGGCAGTTATTCATCAGGACCAGACTCCTTTTACATGTGCTTTTAAAGATGGACATAAAAGTTACTTTCAAAAATCGTAGTCTCCAAAGTTATTTCTAGAATAGCCCGCAATGTTGTGATTACTGAACAAGGAATATATTCTATCTATCAGCAGGGGACAATTGCCACCTTCCACTTAATGGTTTCAGCGCCAACAGAGGCGTGGGCAAACTGAAAATCCCACGATCTAAACTTTTAAAGATGTACAAATAATGGGGAATGAAAAAGAGGGAATGTAATGATCTTAAACAGAGAGTATTTCAGACCTTTTTAAAACAGCCATATTGCAAGTGATTGGGAAGATTGATATGAAAAGAAAAGCAAAATAAAAAAGAATGTCTGGATTTCATGGCTGTTAAAAGGAAAAAAGAAGAATCTTGTGGAGGTTTAAACTGAAGTTTTCTGAATCATTCTTTTTCACACAGAGGTTAATCAGCCTCAGTTATATAATTCTGAGGTGAATTGGGTGAAAGCTTTTCAATATTATATACATTGGTAATATTGTCACCCTGCTTATTTAACTTATATGCAGAGCACATCATGAGAAACCCTCGGCTAGAAGAAGCACAAGCTGGAATCAAGATTGCTGGGAGAAATATCAATAACCACAGATATGCAGTTGACACCACCCTTATGGCAGAAAGTGAAGAGGAACTAAAAAGCCTCTTGATGAAAGTGAAAGAGGAGAGTGAAAAAATTGGCTTAAAGCTCAACATTTAGAAAACTAAGATCATGGCATCTAGTCCCATCACTTCATGGGAAATAGATGGGGAGACAGTGGAAACAGTGTCAGACTTTATTTTTCTGGGTTCCCAAATCACTGCAGATGGTGATTGCAGCCATGAAATTAAAAGACGCTTCCTCCTTGGAAGGAAAGTTATGAGCAACCTAGGCAGCATATTAAAAAGCAGAGACATTACTTTGTCAGCAAATGTCCGTCTAGTCAAGGCTATGGTTTTTCCAGTGGTCATGTATGGATGTGAGAGTTGGACTGTGAAGAAAGCTGAGCGCCGAAGAATTGATGCTTTTGAACTGTGCTGTTGGAGAAGACTCTTGAGAGTCCCTTGAACTGCAAGGAGATCCAACCAGTCCATCCTAAAGGAGATCAGTCCTGGGTGTTCATTGAAAGGACTGATGTTGAAGCTGAAGCTCCAAAACTTTGGCCACCTGATGCGAAGAGCTGACTCATTGGAAAAGACCCTGATGCTGGGAGGGATTGAGGGTGGGAGGAGAAGGGGATGACAGAGGATGAGATGGCTGGATGGCATCACTGACTCAATGGACATAAGTTTGAGTAAACTCCAGGAGTTGGTGATGGACAGATGGACCTGGCGTGCTGTGATTCATGGGGTCGCAAAGAGTCAGACACAACTGAGTGACTGAACTGAACTGAACTGAACTGAATAAGGATTAAGCCCATGGAGGATATATAATATGCATATGTCAATATTACTAATATTTAGGTTTTCTCATTTTGCAAACTGTTGCAAAAACACCACATTGTATTCATGAGATTCTAGTCAGACTCCAGTGGTAGATTACCTACTCTTGTGAAACTAAGCAAATATCACAGGCTACCAGGATAGCAATGCTCATCAAAGAATTAACTTCCTAAAAAATTTCAGATAATGGAAAAGAATCTGCTTCATCCTTGACAAAGTTTAATCTTGAAGGGAACATTTTTTTTTTTTTTTTTTGCAATATAAAAGAAGAATTCTTCCCTGGTGGTTTAATTGGTAAACAATCCACCTGCAATCTGGGAGACCCAGGTTCAGTCCCTGGGTCAGGAAGATCCCCTGGAGAAGGAAATGGCAAGCCACTCCAGTATTCTGGCCTGGAGAATTCCATGGACAGAGGAGCCTGGCAGGCTATAGTCCATGGGGTTGCATAGAGTCGGACACGACTGTGTGACTTTCACTTCACTTCACTTATATTTTCTGTGATAACTAGGTAAAAGCTATTTATTGAATAGATTTTGTGTAGTTATTCCCACCTTATTCAAAGTGATTTTTAAATGATTTTCTTTAAAATTTTTTTATATCTATCTCAAGAATCTAGAGCTCAATTACAGCTATGCTTCCCTTAAGTAATGTGAAAATAAATAAGTGAATAAATGCTCTTTCTTTGCCCAATCCTGACTTCCTTGTTAAAGAATTCTCATTCTTCCGTTTTGAGGAGAACATAAAATCCTCTTTCCCTTTCCCCAAATAATTCTCTATTTCTGCTCATGTCAATGTAAGCAGGAGTAGCTCTTGAGAAGAAAGCAGTTAACATGTAGTAGATTTTCCTCCTATTCACCAGTATCCAATGCCCTACACATCTAGGCCCGTGGGAGGATTACACTTCTCAATCCCCCTGCATTTGAGTGAGGCCACGTGACTGACTCCTGCCAGTGGGTGGAGGGTCAGTTACTTAGCCGTGTGTTTCACGGCCAGTGCCAGGCAGTTCAGAGGAGGCTCTGGCCATCACAGTAGCAACAGCAGCATGCCTAAAGATGGCTCTGCCATTGCTTTGGATCCTAGGGACACTAAGATGAACAGAGCCATGAGCCAAGGCCCAGCTAACACACTTTGGTGAATGGCATAGGCTTTATTGTTTCAACCACTGAGATTTGGGGAGAGTTAGTTAGCACAATATAACCTAAGCTATTCTAACTAACACAGAAAGAACAATTAACAATAATTCTAATTAAACAACTAACAATATCTCTAACAGAAGCTGATATGAATCTGCTGTATATCATGTGTCAGACACTTAAAACTACCCTGTAAGAGAGTTATTAATATGATTCCTGTTTTATAGATGAGGCAACTGAGACCCTGACAGATTAAATAACAAGATTACCCAATTAAGCATTATTAGAATGAGAATATGACGTTAAACAGATTTACTTCCTAGTTTAACTATTAACCAGAGTGACCTTCTACTAAACTCCCCAACTCTACCTTCTAAGATTTCATCAATGTGCCCCAGGAAAAATAATGTTCTGGGCTATAGCTCTAAGAGTTCCATTTTCTAATCAATAATTACAGATGAGAAATATTTAACTGCAAGACAGTTTCCTACTCCCCTAATAAAACTATTTATAAAGTTTCAAAGCTGAACACATATTTAGGGACTATCTATTATGAATTAAGCATTCTATTAGGTTCATTTTACATATGCTTTTAAATTATTCTGCCTCAAAATCTTTTCCATTTATAACACTATTGCCCCTTCTTTATAGAAAAAAATTAAGGGCCAGTGAATATATATAGTATGCTCAAGATCATCTAGCTTGTAGATGGCAGAGGAAGAATTCAAATTCTGTCCTGTTTTAAAACTCCATGCTTTTTCTATTAGGAGAGAATTCATGAGTGTAAACAGTAAATGAGGCAAAACTCTGTGAAGTCGATTCTTTTAGGATGGACTGAGTCTTGAACACAGTTGGCTCAGAGGACTGAGAATTTCTGCCAGCTTAGTTGGACTGTATCTCATCCTACTCATTCGGTATTGGCTGTGTGCAGGCTGGTGACCCAATAGCCCTGAACTGGTGAATGACTCTCCTTGGAGCTCTTAAAGGCAAAGTGCAGAATGGATTTCCAAATATGCCTGAAACATCACTGCAAAAGCCACAGACACACCATCTGACATGACTTTCAGTTATTCTGAAGGTTTCCTCTGGAACACCCTCCAGTGAGCACTAGGGTTTTGATCACCTACAACTTGTGGCCTTCTGTACAGTCTGATCACTCTTTCAGCCCATGGTCTGACAGCTGTTTTTCACTGGGTCCTTCACTGTAACCCTTCCACCTTTGTACTTCCAAATTCCAGTTTTAAAAATGCATTAAGAGGACACTTTCAGACTTTACCCTTTAATAATAATACTGACAACCTGCTAAATTGGCACTATTAACCTCCTCTCCACTACAATTCAAATTTAAATTCAATGTGAACACAAGATTGCCCCAGAAGCAGCAGTAAAACAAGGATCAGTCAACTCCTGTTATACCCAATCTTAAACATATTAATATTTGGTCAGTAAAATTCCTCAGCAAGCTGGCAGTGCCTTGCTCCAGATATGATAACAGTATTTTTTTTTACTGTAATACAAATAAGTGAAAAGCCCTGCCCTGTACTTACTCTGCACTTTGAAGTTTCTTTATGGAATGTCTTGAGTTCCTGATTCCTCTCTCTATGTGAAAACCTTTCCTTACACAGTGCTTGTCAGAGGTTAAGACTAATTATACCCCTGACTTTGTTTTTGAAGCTAAATCAATCAAAAGTGCCTATGTCCTTCGAGAACAGGCTTGTGGTTGCCAAGAAGGACGGGGTGGGGAGGGGCGGATTGGGAGGTTGGGCTTAGCAGGTGCGAACTATCACATAAAGAATGGACAAGCAACAAGGTCCTACTGGATAGCACAGGGAACAACAGTCAGGATCCTGTAACAAACCAAAATGGAAAAAGAAGCTAAAAAAGAACATCAGTTCAGTTCAGTTCATCGCTCAGTTGTGTCCGACTCTTGCGACCCCATGGACTGCAGCACTCCAGGCCTCCCTGTCCATCACCAACTCCTGGAGTTTGCTCAAACTCATATCCATTGAGTCGGTGATGCCATCCAACCATCTCATCCTCTGTCATCCCCTTCTCCTCCTGCCTTCAATCTTTCCCAGCATCAGGGTGTTTTCAAATGAGTCAGTTCTTTGCATCAGGTGGCCTAAGTATTGGAGTTTCAGCTCAACATCAGTCCTTCCAATCAACACTCAGGACTGATTCCTTTAGGATGGACTGGTTGTATCTCCTTGCAGTCCAAGAGACCCTCAAGAGTCTTCTCCAACACCACAGTTCAAAAGCATCAGTTCTTCAGTGCTCAGCTTTCTTTATAGTCCAACTCTCACATCCATACATGACTACTGGAAAAACCATGAAGAATATATATATATATATATATATATCACTTTCTGTACAGTAAAATTAACAGAACACTGCAAATCAACTATACTTCAATAAAAAATAAATAAAAGACACATCCTTCTTAAAAAAGTGTTAAATTCTTGAAGATTCCTTCCATGAATGGTTTTAGACTCTTCTTTGATATTTGTAGTTTAGGGAGCTGAATTTTCCGGAGGGAAGAATCTGAGCATTGTTGGCAAGGGGGTCAACGTCCAATATCTGTGTCTTCTCTGTCTGAACCTTCTATTTCTGAAAGTCAGATGGATTTCGAGAAGCAGCCTTTCCTGCCAGGCTTCCAGCAGGAAGCTGTTTAGATGGTCATTATTATTTCCTTTCAAACTTTTTGATATCACTGGAGTCACAGATGTTTTAACAAGTAAAAATAATCAAATATAACATAGAGCATGGTAAATAAAACGAGGAAATTATGTTAAAATTTTACCATCTCGTTAGCCCCAGAGACATGAAGTCTGCCTGAGAGAAGTCACTGGCTCTTCTTTGGGCATAACTTCTTGAATTTATACACTTATGTTTGAGCCTATTTTTTTCCTTTCTTACATCACCTATCTCCCCCAATCTCCCCTCCAGTACTACCACCACGTGGATAACAAAATCAGAGAAAGAATTTAATTGCAAAATGGCAGAACTTCTTAATAGCAACATGTGCTTTTCTTAGCGCTTCATTTAAGATCAAACTGTATTCAAGCAAAAATGTATGAGGCTGAAAAGGTGAAGTAAACAGAAGTCCTAAATCCCAGAAAATTTGTCCCCAATTAAAATATAAACGTGACATTTCATCTTCTAGTTCAGTACTTCTAAAATGTTGTAGAACCTCAATGTCCCTTGAGATTGTGAAAAATAATTTTCAGTCTCTTCAATTGCTATTCCCCTTTCTCCACCTTGCACACAGGCGTGTGTGTATGCGTGCATGCGCACATCCACACGCACGCAGCCACACCTACCTACACATACACTTAGAGTTTCGTGGCAAGTGAGTGTGGGTAAGTTTGAGAAGCGGGTGCTCTTGGTGATTCATAACGTGTCTAAGCATCCTAGAACCTCTACAGAGTTGTCTTAAGTGGACTCTGACGTTGTGTCGCCATATCATTGTCCCAGGAATGCTGATTTTATTTGGGGGATTCACAGCTTCAGAAATGCCGGACTAGAAATACGAATAAGAATCAGGTGGCAGATTTGCAGCAACTTAAGCGCTGGCCCAACCGGAGCCCTGCGGGGGCGTCCAAGAACCGTGGCGGGCGGCAAAAGGACGTGGTCCGGGAGGTGGGCCCCGCCGCGGAAAGGCTTCAGTCTGAATCCGGCTCGACAACCTGCCTGTGCGTTCGTGGGCAGAGGACCTCACTTACCAGCAGCTCTGACCCCTCATTTTATAAAGGCCAGAGTTGTGAATATACACCTCATGGTGATATTGGGAGGGGTTGGCACACTTTGAGGGGCTGGAAGACTCTCGAAATAGAAATTCCCCAGGAATGTTATTAGAAATATCAAAGTCTCAGTGCATAATGTTCTCTATAACGTGTTAGTCAATGGTTCTAGAAATGTCAACCAAATCAACTTCCTCCTTATTTGCTGGTAATTACAGGTTCACCGAGTCTTTTTTTCTTTTGGATCAAAGCAGGTAGCCTCCCTGAGGAACACTGGCATGAGTTCATGAGTAGAAGCAAAGGTAAAGAAGAAGTGAGTCAGCTTTTCTCAGCCCATGAGAATTATCAGCACACAGACAGCTCTGGAGGCATCAGGGGAACAAACGACTTCTCTTCATCATGTTTTATCTTGCTGCTTTTCCTATTAATATTGACTGTGATAACCTCACTGTAATATTCGTTCTTTATTACTCCTGTGCCTCTGAAGTTCATATCATTTATAAATAAAATAAAATACAAATGTGCTGTTTTTCCTTTTCACATATAAATATGCGGATGCATGGACATGTACCGTAAAATTACAGTAAGAAAAGCAACTCTAGCAGGCCTATAAAGTAAGAGACATCATGAAGGGGAAAGAAAAAAACGAGAAGAAATAATGCTGGCAACTGCCCCTGAAATGAATCAGGTCCTATTTGGGATTCACACATACACACTGCTCCATACAAAAACCTACTCTATAGCACAGGGAACTCTGCTCAATATTCTGTAACAACCTAAATGAGAACAGAACTTGAAAGAGAATACATGTATGTGTAAAAAAATTAATTGCGTTTTTTTTTTTAAAGAAATGAATTGAGTCCTATATCTTAATGGAATTTGGTGATGTGAGCTAAAGCAGAAACATGGGTTTGGAATGACAGGTGCATTTTCAGAAGATGGTATCTGAAGCAAACGATGAAGCATACACCCATCCTTATGCTTGATGTGGGCATCACCTAGCATTTTTGGTTTCTGATGTCTTTTTTGGCCGTGATGTGCAGTTTGTGGGATCGCAGTTCTCTGACCAGGGAGCAAACTCAGTGGTAGCCAGAGTGTGGAGTCCTAAGCCCTGGACCACTGGGGCAGTCCCCTGGTACTCCTTTAGATAACACGTCACAAGAGTGCTTGTCTGATGCTTCAGATACTCTTAGAATTGGTGAGTTTTGAAAGTATATGGATGTGAATTATGCAATAACCAACATGCCATTAAATGAGAATTATCTCAAGAAATTCCTGGAAGATTACACGGATATATTTGTCACACAGATTTTCTTCCCTGAAAAATCCTTCATTGCAGTGGACCACCACTGCCAGGAAAGACAGTCTTGAAGATATGAAGTATTGGTTCCTAAAAAAGTCGAGAAGACAAAAACAACTCTGCTTTATTCAATTGCTTAAAGAAAAAACAAAGAAGAACACACAGATATTTATTCAGATTCTTCTATATATCAGACATTATGGTGGGCTAAAGTATTGAACTGGAGAAATAAGGCCTGCATGCATGCATGCCAACTTGCTTCCATCGTGTCCGACTCTGTTACCCCATGGACTGTAAGCCTTCAGGTTCCTCCATCCACGGGACTCTCCAGGCGAGAGTACCCGAGTGGGTGGCCACGCCCTCCTCCAGGGGATCTTCCCGACTCAGGGATCGAACCCATGTCTCTTGCATCTCCTGCATTGGCAGGTGGCTTCTTTACCACTAGCACCACCTGGGAAGCCCCGAAATACGGCATACACAGATTAATTCATTCAATAGACACCGAGGGCCTGCCACATTCCAGACTTTAGATTATATTCTAGTTGGCTAGTGGCAGGGCGGGGGGTGGTGGAGTGGGGTAGGGACACGATCAGCATAAGTAAGTTGCAGACAGATTAGAGAAGGATGAGGAATACATGCTAAGGATAAGATGTAATGTTGAGAAATGAAGGGTGGGAGAAGGGAGCTGAAACTGCAAGTAAGGAGGCCAGGGAAGTTCTCACTGAGAAAGTGGGCTTTGTGTAAAGACTCCAGGAAGTGACGAAGTGAGTCCAGTGGAAACCGGGGAAAAGAGCATCCAGACAGAGGAATCAGCCAGTGCTGGGAGTCTAAGTGAAAAGTGTGCCTGGCACGTTGGAGGAAGAGTTGGAGGCGGATGGCTGAAGAGGGTGGAGGCGGCCCAGGAGGTGTGATCACAGGAGGGATGGAGAACCAGGTCGTGAGGGCCCTTGTTGCTCCTAGACCAGCTCAGGCTCTCACTCTGAGACAGAAAGTCATTTAGGGCTCCGTGTTTGTTTGCTTCGTTTTCATGTTTATTCTTTTGGCTCCACTGCATAGCTTAGCAAGTCTCAGTTCCCTGACCGGGAATGGAACCTGGGCCCTTGGCAGTGAAAGTTCAGAGTCCGAACCGCGGGACCCCCGGGGATTCCTCGGCTTCCATTTTAACAGTATTCCTTTCGCTGCTGTGTAGTGACGAGAGAGAGGGGAGAAGGTGGAAGCAGGCAAACCAGTTAGGAGGCTGCACAAATAATCCAGATGAGAGACGATGTGTCTTGGAATAGAGTGAGGATGGGTAAGAAGTGATCAGTGTCTGGGTACTTTTCGAAAGTGCATCCAGAAGGAGGTCTTTGGTGTATTAATTGTTGAAAAGAGAAATGCCAAAGACTCCTCTGGAACTTTCCGGCTGAGCAAAGCGTGAGATGCAGTAGACCGCGACACTGGCGTCTCAGTGATGTTGGGTTTGGACCGCCTGTTAGACCGCCAAGTGGTCATGGACACAGGAGCTGGGAGTCGAGGGAAGAAGTCTAAGCTGGAGATATAAATTTGG